CACACAGAGAGAGAGAGAGAGAGGGGGGGGGGGGGCTCCCTTCTCTCCTCCCTTCGTTTGTTCCTTCTTGCCCTTCCCGCTGCTGCATGCCTGCCATTATTATAGCTATAAATAACGGAACTGAAATTTCGAAACCACTTCTGTTTCGGAAATTACTGGTAGTAATTACTAATTACTAATTAGAGAGAGACATTTCAATTTTCAACAATTCTGAGGAAACCACCTTTCACTGGCTTTCACTGGCTTTCAGGCTTTCAGGGAAGCCCCTTGCATTCTGGATGGTGTCTATAATATACCCACTTGACTGTTTTACACACTCTAGAATCCCCCCGTCCCCCCTTCCCCCTTCCCCCCACCAGCAATCCCCTTCACCTATTGCAAATCAGCATCTCGCCCTCGTCCTCCCCCACCTTTCCCTCCCTCCCAATCCCCTCCCTTGCCCCCCAGCCAATTTCCCCATCCACCCCTGGGGCATAAAGGAACAACTTGTCATGTGCCTTCATTGAAATCATCAGCACTTGTCATCCACTGACCACATAGCAGTGGGGAGTACATTTCTTTCCTCTTTTTTCGTTCTTTTCCAGGTAATTCAGAATTACTCTTCTGTTCATCTACTTGCATCTGGGTTGGAACTCTGGTCTGTATTTCAAACTTCAACAGTCTGTGGGTTTACCAACTGAGCTAATTGTGCACTGCCATACATTTTCTGAGGTTATGGTCGATTGACCTTTCCCCCCTTCCTCTTCTCATTTGAGAAATACAGCAAAAAGGCACCTATCACTGCTGACGCTGGTGATGCGAAGAAATCAATTTCGTTTTTTCCCAGTGCCAGCTGTGCCGGCTTCCATATTTCTCAAATATGAATATTATCTCTTTTCTTTTTTCTGAACACACGTTTCACGGCTGGTCACACTGCTAAACATTTCCTTGCGAGCAGTTCGCGCCGTACCAATGTAATCTCCATTACGGACGGACAGATCGCTTTGGGAACAGAACTGTTTTATCGTGAAATCCGACCTGCTATTAATGTAGGGGAAACAAAAAAAAAAAAAAAGAAGGATTGTCTTGTACAGCAGGCTTATACCAGATGGAGGCTAACACCACATCGTTGATGGCCAAACAGTGCCCCAGGATTGAAAGTGCGTTTGTCCTTCCATGACCCAAGTTCAGACAGGGCTGGGCTTGCTGAGCAATCCAGTCATTGTTAGTGATCTGAGGGATTTCACTGCTAACTGAGAGCAGACTCGTTGCTGTCAGCATTGAGAGAATTGCGCGTGCTGATTCTCTGCTCACCTTGTACTCGTACATTTCACCACTGAAAGGACACCTGGTTAAGTGCTTGCAAAAGCGTTTGCCTCCATTCGCCAGTTCGTCCGCCGTTGATAAGCATTTGCCTCCATTCGCCAGTCTGTCCGCCATTGATAAGCATTTGCCTCCATTCGCCAGTCCGTCCGCCATTGATAAGGCTCTGCCTCCATTCCCCAGTCCGTCCGCCATTGACATCTCCGGAGTTCCCGTCGAACCTTGCGGGCGCGTACAGCGACTCGGAATAACACGCCTCATGGAAATGAGCAAACTGCAGTCCTTGGCAGTTGCTGCAATCAGGAAGTCTCGGACAACTCGTATGCACTCGTCTCGAGGCAGCGCCTTCAGCCTCTCCAGTTCTGCCCTCAATTTCACCTCGTCCTCCAAACCTCCACTGCTGGCCCCCAACTCTCCCCCTGCTGGAAAATGGCCATTGCCTGCATGTGCGCTGTTCGAATCACATTCTGTGTCAGCGTCCGCAACATTGCTGTCCTGCTGCGCACCACACATCAATGCCTCGAACACGTGGATGACGCCCTCAATGTCATATTGATCGAGTCGTTGGGCTCGCAGCAGACCGTCCAGTACCTGCGTTTCCAGCAATGCGGCCACAACCAGCTCCTGCAGAGCTTGCTCCCGCTGGCTCCCACGAAGAGGGCAGAACGTCTCTAGTCCACCCTCCAGGTCCCAGTCCATTCCTGGTCCGCAGAGATCCGTAGCGGGAGCATTACTGTTTCCATTGCCTGCCTTACGCATGCGGGCCTGGACAACAGTTTGTACCTCCGATTTCCCTGCTCCATACACCTGATTTCCTTCTCTAAACACTCTAAGATTATTTTGCGGATTCCTGAATAGTGCCCGCATTGCAGTCATCATTCTCGCTTGGTCTCCAGAGAAGAGGTCTCGAGGATCATAGTTGCTCACCGATTTCACCTGCTCACAGCAATACCAGCAGAATGGGAATGAGATTCAGCAACTGCAAGGACGGAGAAAGACAGGAGGCCAGAAAGGAAACCAAAGAGGTCTGCGAGGCCTGGTTTTGAAGAGCGTTTCTCCGAGGGGATTTTGGAAACCTCGAGGAAGGGCCGTGATGGTGGAGTGAGTGCACTGGCAGTCGATCCTTTTGGTTGGCAGCAAGCAAATGCTATCAGGGTTCCCCAGGCCGTAATGCAGGGAGGCGTGGAGTGGGATATTGTTTTACGGTTTTAGCTATTCCAAGGGCGCTGGACCCGGTTTCGAGTAGGTGCAGCTCCCCACGCATAGAAAGGAGCAGTCTTTCAAAACACAACAAAGAAAGCAAACACATGCAGCTCCCCAGAAATAGAAGGGAGGCAACCCGTCACGAACACAACATTCACTTGACAATGAGGCTACTACCTTCTTCGCCCTAATACGACGTACGGTCATTATAGCTGTCTCTAGACTGAAAGATGCCCTCAAATACAGCTATAATGACCGTACGTTGTATTCGTGGGAAGAAGGTAGGCAGGTCTGAAATGACCAGCCTGGATGGCTTGATGGCCTAGCGTTCTACACTTCATGACCCATGGCCCCTGTGGTTTCCACGTACACATGGCGGCCTTCTAGACTGCTCAAAACTGGGGCTTGTGCCAGATATAAAAGACCAAACCGAGGCTTGCGTTTCAAAGTATGTGCCTTGGGTGAAGATAGGTGTGCCAAAATCGAGTCACTCACACTAGACCTTTTGTGACGCAGCTCCCGACGTGACTGGGGCCAGGTGCACCCAGGACAGGCCGTAATTGCATTCAGACAGAAGTGCTAGCGTGAGTATATGCCGTAAGACTCCTGACAAACAAACAACGACATACTTAAGCTCAGAAAGTGGGTAGGGGGGTGGGGTATCCGCGCGAAAGTAGAAAGGGCAAATGCATAGATTTTGCTAGATGCCCAGGAGGGTGGAACTTGCTGTACAGTCCACTTGGTTGTACCCAGGGGTACCCTTCTGAATGGTTGTACCCAGTCGTCTGGGATGAGCATAATATGGCGTTGGGGGGGTAGGCGTCCGTAGGTCACGGCTGGCAATAGGATTATATAGAATAACTGATGGTATCGACACGAGTAGACTGGGGGTGCAGTGATCTGCCCGGGCAACCAAATGGCTGAGCTCCAGAGGGTCCTTCAAAGTCTGAACCCGACCTCTACAACAACCTGGGCATTCTTAAAAAGAAAAGAAACAAAGTCAGAATCAGAAAGAAAGTGAAAAGTCCCCTGGGCATCCACACCACTCGAGCTTTTTCATCCAAACAAATAAAGAAGAGAGGAGAAAGAGGTGAAGAGGAGGAGAAAGTGAAGGAGAAAGAAGAGACGAAGAACAAGGTAGGTGTCATCAACCTCTGGTATTCTGCTTGAATTCTGGTTCTGAAAATGTCCCACACCTGATCTTGAGAAGAACTAACGTGGATAAAGATGGGAAAGCTAGGGAAGGAGACGACTTCCGTTTGAAAGAAAGGGGAAGCTAGTTTCATTACCACCTTACCTGCACAGACACACACATTCTCTCTCTCTCTCTCTCTCTCTCTCTCTCTCTCTCTC